ATGGCAAGTCCATGAACAGCACAACAGTCTGGTAACAAAACCCCATTAGGCTTCAGATCAGGCTGTTTGTCACAGTCACCAGGTTCATCCATCACTGCCCACATGAGCGAGTCACCCAACAGAACTACGGACTCCCCAGGTCACGCCCCGTCCATGGCCCTATTCAAGGTCACCATGAAGTCCAGACACTCCAAAATGTGCCCTGCTCTGAGCGACTTGGTGTTAGTAGACGTGATACTTTCGTTCTCCGGGGAGAACTCCAACACAGCGGCTCAGCTGGGGGCTGGTGAGTATCCCCACATCTCCAGAAAAGAATGAAGTCCTGGACCTGGAGTTTGGTTCCAGATCCAGTGCTGTGCGTGCAGGTGAGCCCAACCACATCTAGTTGGTACCTCTCCACCTCCCACACCAGATCTAGATCTAGATCCTTCCCCATCACAGAGGTGACATTCCATGTCCAGAGCCAGTCTATGACGCCAGGGATCATCACGCCCAGGCCCCCGATTGTGCCTGCCACCTGACCCAAATCCCTATCACTGCTGGTGGTGGGCACACATGGTGGTTCCAAGTAATTACTTTGTTGTACTGGGCTTCATGGGTCAAGGCCCAGCCACCAGGACCTCACTGATGAGGTGAGCTCCCAGCTCTGGCTCTAGGAGAGGACCCTGGTTCCCCTAATCCAGGTGAGCTGACATGGCTCAGTGCAGTCCTGTCAGTCCTTCAACTCTGTCTAGTTTCTTCTCTCCGGCTGTCCTCCACCCCCAGGTGAAGGAAAACCTAGGTTCCCTCTTTCCTTTATAATCTATAGATAACCTGTTAAATTCACATTCAGATTTTTTTGACCAGGGCCAAAAGGTCACTAAAGGCAGTAGGATTCATCATCTAGAATCCTTAAATGTGCACATCAAATAGATGCTGAGGTATTTCAGTGGGTAAGAGAAAACTTGGACCCGATGGCGCTGTCAGGTTCTCTTGTTTTTTGGTTGGCTCTTTTTGCTTTTCTTTCAGGAGGTCAGAAGGTGGAGCTGAGTCCTACCTGAGATGCAGTACACCTGAGCACACCGGACTCAGAATGCCATAAATACGATCTGCAGGCTGCAGCTTTCTTCCCTCGGCCTGCCAGCTAACCCTGCTGCTTTGTTTGCTTCTGCTTTTGTTTCACGTCCATGCACTCACGCACGCCATGCTATTCATCCAACCAAAGCAAACATGGCTGACCTGTTCACAGACGAAGCCTATTAAGGTGTCACACTGAAAGGAGCAGTCTGGCTTGTCTTTATGTAAATGTGTGTCAATGTGCAAATTATACAACTGGATAATGTTCATTTAGTTTGTATCTCTGTTAAATCCCCACCTGTGCTTTTTCCTCTAGATGAAATAACTAACTGTTATTATTATTATTATTATTATTATTATAGAGGAAAAACCCAAGAAATCCATGATGACTATTGCATGATGTCTATTGTTTGTGTGACTGGACGGTCATATGACTTATTTATTATATCAAGGTTCGACTGATACCTTCAAGATGTACAAAGGAGGAAATAAACACATTTTGAAAACCTCTTGCACGTTTTGTATTGATGAGTACACTGGCGGATGTCTTTGTTTAAATAAGCTTTATTGAAAATACACATAACAAACAATATGGTGGGGGCACCGGTGGACATCAGGCAAGCTCACATGAACACGCAACGGCCTCGAGATTATGACCATTCAAGGAAATCCTTAAACTATCACATAATACTTAATTTTGCTAGAAAAAATGGCTCGTGAGGTGAGTGAGAGTTTGTCAGACTTGTATAACCCGAGTTGCTTCTGTATAGAAATACTAGAACATACATTCACCTCATTTTTTGAGCTTTAGGTCTAAGATGAGAATTCACCGTTGTAACATTGTAGATAAGTCAGAAAACAAGGAAAAGCACCGTGGACTCTTTAAGTATATTTTTGTATATGTTTAATTTAAAATGTTTGCTATAGTTCAGAACTGTTTGTAGCCTCCCTCCTTCATCACAAACTGCTTGATGGGCTTGCACAAAATGTGGTGCACACATTTAAGGTTTGTTGGCACAGTAAGAGAACAATGCTGTTTAAGACAAATCACCGTCACCTTCTGCACTAAGATGTGTTACTTACACACTTCTATCTTTTATTTTATCAGACAAACAAAACATTTTTGGATTTTAACAAGGATTTTTTTGCTGTTGTTTGTTGACACTGAAAATATGTTTCAGTAACTTTTTCCCACTCTGCTTTTGTATTGTTGTGTTGCTTTTGTAATTCTCTCTTTTGTTTGGTTTAACACAATAGCTTTGCTCTGGAAACAGTGTCACTGCTATTCATTGCTGAGTCAGACAAACAAAACATTTTTGGATTTTAACAAGGATTTTTTTGCTGTTGTTTGTTGACACTGAGAATATGTTTCAGTAACTTTTTCCCACTCTGCTTTTGTATTGTTGTGTTGCTTTTGTTAGTCTCTCTTTTGTTTGGTTTAACACGATAGCTTTGCTCTGGAAACCAACAGTGTCACTGCTATTCATTGCTGAGATTAGGGGTCTTATGATGACTGAAACACTTCCACCTTAAACATTTTCAGTGTCATGGCTGCGCCTTTTGAACATCATGAGGGTGACTTGTAAAGGTAATAAACGCTTTGGACAGACACAGTTTTCCTCCCCTGACCTCTTTACAGCGCTCAAACACAAATGTGAGCCTTAGATGTGGTACAACATTGTGTGTGTCCAGAGCCGTCTTTCTAGGAACCAAGGGAGCGACTGTGCACAACAAAAGATGCATGTTCTCCAGGAATTGTTGCCAGTGGTAATTATAGACTGATATCCAATCTCCCGTTTATTTCTAAAATCCTTGTACGGCTTTTCTGGGATATTTCAGACAAAACTCGACACTTGCTCAAAGAGCCGGACTTCTCAGTAGAGTAACATCTGAAGGTTTAAGGAGGGAGCTGCTTAAAACGGCAGCCTGATATTGTTTGGGAGGATTCGGGGTCTTGTCCTGAACTGATAACATGTAAGAGGGAACTCTGTTTGCAGGTTCATGGTAGGCAGTTAGGGAGTGACTGTGCACAACAAAAGATGCATGTTCTCCAGGAATTGTTGCCAGTGGTAATTATAGACTGATATCCAATCTCCCGTTTATTTCTAAAATCCTTGTACGGCTTTTCTGGGATATTTCAGACAAAACTCGACACTTGCTGAAAGAGCCGGACTTCTCAGTAGAGTAACATCTGAAGGTTTAAGGAGGGAGCTGCTTAAAACGGCAGCCTGATATTGTTTGGGAGGATTCGGGGTCTTGTCCTGAACTGATAACATGTAAGAGGGAACTCTTTGCAGGTTCATGGTAGGCAGTTACTGAATGAACATCTCCTCTTAAAACACCTCCAGCAGTGTTCGAAGCTTTAATAGGTTTAAAATATGTCACCTTAGTGTGAGAGGTCGAGCTGCGTTCCTGTGCCCAGGGGTCAGCAAATCGTGACCTTCACTATGCACACAATTCCAAAACAATAACCTTTATAAGAGTCCAGGGGTCAGCAGATCGTGACCTTCAAACAAATCCTATTTGTTGATGTTGAAAACAAAAACACTATGCACACATAATTCCAAAACAATAACCTTTATAAGAGCAAGATGTTGGTTTTGATGACAAAAAGGTGGAAGACTCTCTCCTGCTCTCCCAGAAAGTCAATCTGTCCCCTACTGAATGAATGTTTCCCATTTTAGTCCTTAGGTTTTCTATTCATAATGCTGAGAACATCACAGTTTCAAGTCAAACTAAACCAGCGGTGCATATCTGAAAGGTCAGAGCGTCATCTTAGTGCTTGTGGAGCATCTCTACGGCAACCTGAAACCTGCCTCCGGCCGCGGGTATCTCTGGCACTCGAACATAAAAACATAAAGGTGTGGCTGAAAAGCTCAGAGATGAAGTTAAAACCTAGAAAAAGTCAAGTGTTCCAAATTCTTCAGTGCCTGTAGCAGCAGCAGCTGTGCAGACGACAGAGGATTCAGGACCACAGCTCCCAGTGAGACCAACAACCTTCTGACCACCACCCTAATGAATACAGTGACACAGTAAAAGTGTGACCTCTAGTGACGACAAGTGAGAACAACAACATCATTTCTCTATTTACATGGCACATTTCATACACAGAGGCAAGGACAGCAACAGCATTAAAAACAATAAGCAATAAAATCAGCTGAAAATAATTTAAAAAAAAAAACAATAAAAGCTCTGAAACTGTTACAGTGCAGCTTAGAAACCGGTCAAACTAAAGCACAGGAAAGCAGCAGAGTTTAAGGTCATCAGGAAGCTGGTCGCCGCTGAAAGCAGCTACTAAACAACAGCCTATAGCTGTAAAGGTAAAAGTCATTACCATGTATATTCTATGGTGATGATCTCTAGAAACCAGTGTGTTGTCATTAAGTTTCTTTAAAACTGTACAACCGATGTAAATAACTGATCCAGTCTGCTAGTTCTGGTGACAGAAATAAACCCTGAGCAGACGGAATGATTGACATGTTCTCATTTTGTGGCTGTGAACAGCTGTTCTTTAGTCAGACTGGAGGATTCAAAGAAAATATGAACCTCACAATAGGAAACGTAGCTCTCAGTCCCTGCCACACCACTAAATCTTGTACAGTCCCTAACATTGTTGACTCTTGGTGTGTTTAGTAAAGTGGTGGTGGCTCAGCCATCAGCTAAATGACTTCTTTAAATGTGCTGCTGAGATAATTATGAAACACCTTTTAAAAATCTTTCCAGGTCATTTAATTGACCTGTGTACTCAGGACGAAGGTTCTTCATCAGGCCACATGTTGAAACCTTGCCTCACTGCTGCGGGGCAGATTTGGTTTTGAGTTATAGACATGAAAACACAACGACGAGTGCAACATGCTTCACTTTATTGTTGATCTGAATCACTGCTCATTCATTTGAGCAGGTTCATCTGTTCAGTGACAGTTCCATCATTAAATGCGGTTAGATTAACTACATTCTTTGAAGTACACAGAGGCCAGTTTGTCTCTGCACTCTCCCTGGAAGATGAGTCTCATCCTGCAAATGAACAGAAGACAACAGCATTTCTTGAGGTTTTTACATGTTCATAACGTGGGTAATTTGTGATGTAATGCATTTACCAGGCAGATTATTGGCTGATGAAGACATAACTTACATTGTCTTTCTTAACTCATCGCAGCCGGGCGGCTTGGAGTCGTGTTTGCTGTGGAAATATTTGGAAAACATATGAACAATGTGTGCAAAGAAACTGTGATGCACCTCAGTTAACAACCTAAACAGATGTGGCCTTCACACACATCTCAGTCTGGTTAACACAGCCTGTGCGTCCGCTGTCATTTCAGCCCATCGAGCTGTTCTGACGACAGAGATGCTGAACGTCTCACTTTCAGTGTGAACTGACTGGACAGTAAAGTCACATACAGTCAGAAACATAACACAATATGGATTTTTAAAAACCTACCTTTGCAAAACTTGTCAGACATTTGATGCCCTGAGTGATTCCACTCAATTTAAAAGTGAACTTACTGAGGTTTCTTGAGGACCGTCATCAGGCAGGCGATAGCAGCACTTATGTCGTCGTCAAGCAAGTCTGTAAAGAGCATAAGCAGGAGGACTGTTGGTTTAAAGCAGAGTGAAGACGAAAATGTTTGTGCACCCAAAGAGAGAAGAAGAAAAGGAGCAGAGACACTCCACATATGCACAGTTGGTGTGTGGCCAAGCACATAACACAAAGTTCAATTGTACCGTGCATTCATCTGCACACACGTCGACAGCTGAGTAGTTGTAAACAAAGTGAAACTCACCGTTGCAGGGTATCTCACAGATGCTGGGGTCCTGAATCATGCTGTCGTTACAAACCAGGCGATTGCCGAGCTGGAAAAGGCCATAGAGCGTCCAGACCTGCCCCAGTGGAGGCTGGGTGTGACGTTGAGGCCTATGATGCTGCTGCCCTCGATGGTGGGGCCTCTCAGAGCTCTCGTCATCCTCGTGGTGATGACCTTCCATCTTGGGGACCAGCTGGTTCACGGCACTGGTGTTGAAACCTGACGACTGCTCTGCATGACAGACGACTGACGGCAGGAGAGAGGGAAAAAACAAAATGGAAAATCAAAAGTCGCTTTCTGATCCACACTTCTGGGCAGATTTCTGTCCTTTTCTGTGGATAGTCGTGATCCCCAGAAGATGAGTCCAAGTGATTCCTATGACCCCTGATCCGGGCCACAAGAAATATCAAAACAGGAAGGTGGCACAAGAGGAAAAGTCAAAGTTAGATGAATCATCTTCTGTGGATCTTCACACCAACACACCTGTGCTCTTTAAAACTATTGTTTCTGTAATAAATAATCAGCTACTCACGCTGTGCCACTAAGTTGTCCTTGCTGCGTCCTCCCAGCATCTCCGTCATGTTACTAAATGCTGTCATCAGTTGTTTCCTCAGGCCACATTTATCCACAATCCGCCCTTGAGCCAGACCGCAGCCCAGCACCACCAGCAGAAACACCACAAGTGTCTTCATCCTGTCTCCAGCTGTCACCTCTGGCTCTGAGAACATAGCAGACATGATACTTATACTGTCTGAGGAGCCTCTGTTATCAGATTAGGAGGGTGTACTGTACATCTTTTGTTCTGCTTAGAAAAGAGGCCACTCCCTTGCTTCCTAGACACAAATTCCCAGCGCTACTTCTCATGCTTAGTTTTGTGTTTGTGAACTAAAGAGGGGCGACAATGAGATTCATCCTTCTTTAAAATGTTCATTTGATCCCTTCTTCCCGTCATCAGTGACTTTAAATACACAAACAAGTGAAAAATGAAAAGGAAAAGCCTCAATAACAGAGTGGCCTCCTCTAGGATGACAAATCTGGCACAGACATCCACCTGGACCCACGGATGAACTGATTAAAGTTAGGTGGTCAAAGGTCAAAGGTAAAGGTCAGTGACCTCACATCTGTCCCTTTCCTATGAGTTAGAGTGGAGGGCGGACGCATACAACCAAGAAGCGGTAATTCCAGTTTTTAAATGTGCCGCTGAAATAATTCTAAAACATACTAATAAAACTTTTCACAAGTATTTTTATTGACAGGATCATTTTGGAAGTGGTTTCTTCATCAGGCTGCTTGGTGAAACCTTCCCCCACTGCTGTAGCGCAGTTTTGAATCACAGATATGAAAACACACTTTGTTAATATCATAAGTCAGCGGTCATTTGACAGAAGGTCAATACATCCAGTGATAGTTACGGCACTAAACGGATTAGGGCGTTCAGTGAAATATTCAGAGGCTTATTGTTGAGCTCAGTCCTGAAAAGAAACAAAAGAAACTGATACTAGTTGACCTGACTCTCAACAACGCCTAAAAATAAACCTGCACAACACTCACTGCGACGTCACTGACTGGTGTAACCAGAAGCGTTTAAGTTTCAGCTCAGATACCAGAACAGGACAAACTGTTTTAAATCAGTTTGGTGGAAACAGGAGTTTGTTTATTGTCTGGGCTGTTTGTCATGATGAACCTTCTACATCCATTCATGTTTTTTTTATTAGTCCTCACTTGGATGTTTGACCTTCACTGTGCAGAGTCTGACACTCAGAGTCACTTTTCACATTCATCTGCTGAAGTTTCTGTGTCCTCACATTAAATCTGAGTTTAACAGGTGCATTCTGGGTGACGCAGAAACCTGAAGCCTCCGAGCACAAACACTGAGAGTTGATTGGATAAATGTGTGTTGTGGGCTGTAAGGTCGGCATCCAGGCCTGGTTGGTTGACTGCTTGAACCAGGAGGTTGACAGAATGGGCTGCTGGACCCTTTGGGCTGGGTGTGTGATAGAGGCTGTCACGTTTTGGTCTGTGAAAATGTGTCCCCTTTGTTTCCTGAGGATCAGCTCATTCATTGCACTGGTGTTAAAACCTGATGCCAGCTCCACTAAAAACAGCTGAAGGAGAGAGAATGAAAAACAGTGTGACATCTCCAAACGACACGTTTTGGTCTGTGAAAATGAAAACCAACATGTATTTATTTATATATTTAAGTAACGTTCAGGACTTAACACTTAGCCGCAGTGCTCTCTCCAGCCAGTTTTGGCTTTGCCTCCTCCGTCGGGTTGGCGATGACCTTCATGAGCTGGTCCCTCAGGTGGCACAAGACGCCCTTCAGCCAGACTGGCTCAGCACCACCAGCACAAACAACACAAGTAGCTTTATCTTGTTTCTCTGACTCTGAAAATGTGGCACCGTCAGCCCATCCACCGGTAACACCGCTCCCTCGGCTCCTGGGAACAAGGCCCTGGCTCTCACACTAAGCCTTGTGCTGGTGAACTCCACCGAGGTCAGCGGAGGGGTTTTCTAAAACAAACTAGGCAGTAACATTCATTTTCATATGGTCACTAATATCAGTGACTTTAAATATCAGACTCCTCACGTGCACTGGTAGGACGAGCATACCGGTGTTGGGGGGGCAGCGGAGCTTTGCTTTTGGGGGCCTCCTTCCACCATCACTGAACAGCTAAAATAGCCTAATCCATAACACTAGTTATAAATCATAGAAACTGGCACAGGTATGTCTACTGAATCATAAACACAGAGCCCAGGTCCAAGCACGTCATTTTATGTCCTGTATAATATTACTACAATACTCATAATGTCTCACACGGGCTCTGTGGGTCAGTCCTACACTGAGCTGAAGGTACCAACACATCATATCTAACATGACTTCAACATCATCATACAGGTTGGTAACATGGGTTTGCTGCTGCTGGGTCGTTCCTGACATTATACTACGTTTGCCATGATAAAGTCAAACAAGGCCTTCTTTGTACTTTGTAGGACGGTGTTGCAGATTTTGCAGGTAAGTTACAGAGGAGGATTCAGGAAACTATGAACACTGGATAATGGATGGATGGATGGATGAACACTGGGGAAGGTCTTGGTTTTATTGAAATGAAACAGGCTAAAATATTCCTCACCCCTTTGCATCCTAACAACTGTCATAAACCCAAACATCAGTGACTTAATGGACTCTATTTTGAATTATAGACACAACAACAAGTGCAACATGCTTCACTTTATTATTGTCATAAGTCACTAGCTATTCACTGGAGATAAGGCTAATCCTTCCAGTGATATGTCAGGCAGTAAATACATTTAGATTATTAGCATTATGCCAGGGAGCAGGTGTAGCTGTATTAATTGCATTCCTTAAAATAGTCAGAGGTGCTTGCAGTCGCGCATTCAGGCAGGAAGATGTCCTTGATCCTGCAAATAAACAGAAGAGTAAACTGGCTGCATTGACGTCATGACTACATGGGTGTTAATTCAGTATTTAATGCATTTAACAGACATATTACACACACACACACACACACACACACACACACACACACACACACACACACACACACACACACTCTATATATGTACAGTGGCATCAAAAGGTTTTCAAGTTTTCCACATTTTGTTTCAGACTCCTCTTAAAATGGATTGAACATTTTTTTCTTCAATCTACACACAACAATTAACAACAACAAAATAAAACCCTTTTTATTGTCTTCCAAATTTATTAAAGATCAATGACTGAACTATCCCATTTATACAAGTATTCAGACCCATGACACTCAGTTCAATCCAATTCATTTTGTTTGTATAGAGCCAAATCACCACAGTCGTCTCAGGACACAGTCAGGTCTAGACCTCACTATTGTTAATATTATAGAGGACAAACCCAACAAATCTCTTTGAGCAGCTCTTGGTGACAGTGGGGAGGTAAAACTCCCTTTAACAGAAGAAACCTCTGATATTTCCCCCCCACTGTCGCCACTGTCCTCTCAACAGATTCAGATACCTTTATCATCCCCCAGTTGTTGTACAGCCAGTAGAAATCACAATCACAGTAAACAACATTAAAAACTTCAACCACTAGTGTGTAGCTACAAACACAGGTTTGAGCATCCAAAAAGCCAGTAGCAGCTTGAACAAAGGAGTTTTTAAGTCACTTTGATTTGCCTGTTGGTACCTTGTATCTCCAACCAGCAGAAACTCAGTAAACCTAGTCCTGCACGTTCACAGGGGTCAGTCAGATCTATACCTGCATGCTTTCATCATACTTTATAGTCTGTTCCAATCTTTAAAAGTCAGTGACCCAAACTAGAAAATGTAAGGGTGGCATCAATAAACTAGAATAGTTTTCATAAGGGTAGTGTAAACATTACGTTCTTCAGTTTCCCATAAAAGTACATCCCCCAATGTGCCCTTTTACAGACTGCATCCACCTGTGACTGAGTAGTCAGCTTAAAGTGTTATCGATGACAGTACCAAGGTATTTAAATTCCTTGGCAGACCCCATTACCTGGCTGTTAATCACTAAGGGAGGGATGACAACTGATTTCTTCATGAAATCCTCTACCGTCTCTTTAGTTTTGGACACACTGATGTCTAAGAATGACAGTTTAAACCACTCCATGAGGTCTGCTGCTACAAGGCCATAATCAGAGTCTTTGCTCTCCAGCAGAGACACGGTCACCGAGTCATCTGAAAATCTGACGATGTGACACTTCTCAAAATTACTCTCACACGTCTGTGTACAAGGCCAACAAGAGAGGTGGCAGGACACACACCTGGGGAGATCCAGAGGATAATAAAAGAGCATCTGATTAAACACCATTAACTGATATGTTGGGTCTCATGGTTAAAAAAATCCAAACGCCAACAAATCAAACCAGAGTCAATGTTGTGATTCAGCCAAAATGTGAGGTTGGATACAGTTAAAAGCAGAAGAAAAATCTACAAAGACTAAATGTACCAAGGTGTTAGCCCTCTCCAGATGATCCAGATCAAATCATCCTGCTTCTACAGCTTGATTAGAGTCCACCTGAGCCTCATTTAATGTACTGGATAGCTTGTAGCTTCATTCTCAGGAAGACTTGAGGCTGTCGTTGCTGCTAAAGGTGCTTTAACCAAGTCCTAAATGAAGGTCTGAATACTCATGTAGATGGGATACTTCAGTCTTTTATTTTAAATACATTTTCAAAAACATCAAAATCTTTATCATTGTGTGTAGATTGATGAGAACAAAATGAACTGAATCCATTTTAAGCAGAGTCTGAAACAACAAAATGCAGAAAACTTGAAAGGGTCTGAAAACTTTCTGAACGTACGTGTCCAGCAGAACAGGCAACTTAACAGATAAAGATATAACTTACATTTCTTTTAACTCGTCGGAAGCTCCAAAACCACGGTCACTGTGGAAATACATTAAAAAAACCTATGAAATTTAAGAACTCACAAGAGCAGTTACATGTAGGGCGTGCGGGGCAGGCACCACGTCTGTGTTTCCTAATTTCCTACCTGCACAATAACCGATTTCACGTCATGCGCATCACATTTCCTTTTTACCAAGCAGCAGTCTGTCCACGTCCTGCTGGCAGCTGTGTCCAGATGAAAATAGGGTGTGTCCAGGTCAATTTTGGGCATGTTGGTAATATGAGGGCGCACAAAGTGACTGCGCCACTGACCAGCAAAAACACACCGCTGCTTTAATGAGGAGATCAAGTACAGCCTATTTGCTACTTGCGTTGCTACTACCGTTTTTCCTCCTCATCAAATTACCAAAATGAACATGGACACACCCAAACACCACTTGCACCAATACATCTTGATCAGACGTCATGGATCCTCAAAATAGGGCCCAGACTCTCTCTGTGAATTTAAATCTTCAGGCCACAACCTGAACTATGTCATCATTGGCTCTGTTTTATTTTACCAGCTATTACATCATCAGCTCTGTGCTGGTGAAATATGGCTCTTGACTTGCAGGTTTGACCTTCACCTACAGTCTAAAGCTGTAGAAATGTTTTACCACGTGGGGCAAAGCACCAGTTTTAAAGCTACTCTATCTAATGTCTTCAGCATAGAGAGTCTAGTGATACTCAAAGCAAACTGACTCCATAAGTTGCTCCTAACCACGCTATCCTCCTCCGCGTCCTGTTTCCTAGCAACGACCTGAACGACGGATGCCTCGTTGTGACAGACTGTACAAAATGCAGCCTCCAGCCTGAAGCTAGCATTAGCTGACTAATGGCATGCTGACATTATTGCGGCTTTCACACGTGCCTTGCCATTGTTGTGTACGTGGTGTGCTGTGCACAGCGTGGAGTGGGGGTGCACCCAAAGTTTAAATTTACTGAACTTTGACCCTGGCTGCACCTATACCCATAGAATCTCAGGTTTCAGTGCTTAACCAACGTTTCTGAATTTCCCAAACTGTACAATAACACATGAGCTGCTTCGTATCAAGATCAGATAAAGACAGACGACCTTTTTAATTAGCAAAGCGTCCACGTGACACCACCAAGATTGTTTAAACACGGTTTAAGCCTCTAAAACATAGTGATCTGCTGCTAGTAACGTTAACATTGTTGCTAAAAAGCACCGTTTTGTAGAGCGTTTCTACTTGAGCATCTGTGTCGACCAGCGCAGAACATGCAGTGCAAGACGTTCGTTTTTCCACTGTAATGTGAACACACCTTGACGAGTAACTGTGTCAGTCCAGGACCCTCAGGATTTAGTGAGCTCAACGGGTGATACAGAAACTCAAAGCCTGCGGTATAAACACTGAGGATGGACTCCTCAGTGAGGTTAGGAGACCTCACGTTTAGTAGTTAAACATTTTAAACATTGATTGTGGACCAGAATACATGTTGTCATTTTAAGGACTTTTTGTGGAAAACCAGAACCAAGTTATTATTCATAACAGAACATTTTTGTCCATCTTAAAACATTTCTGGGGGGAATTTTTAAAAAACACAGTCTACTATCTCAGTATAATGTTCAGAGATGCTGCTCCATCTAAACTCAGTTCAAAATGAAAAGAAGTGAAATAATCCAAACAGATTAAAACATGCACATACAGACATCAGCCTAATGAAACATGCAAAATCCTAAATCAACTGTTTTACTCTTTATGCATTAAACTGTAACGTAGTATGCATCAGAATGAGTTGAACCTCGTCACACTGAATGTATGAACTTTCAGCTTTTCTGCACAGCAACAAGATGTCGTGTAAACTGTCCTTGAAGGACCTCCTCCCTCATTAACGTGTCTCTCTGTACCAGGACGAGGACCTCTGTCTAATGAGAAGCACATGTGCATGAAGCCTAATGAAACATGCAAAATCCTAAATCAACTGTTTTACTCTTTATGCATTAAACTGTAACGTAGTATGCATCAGAATGAGTTGAACCTCGTCACACTGAATGTATGAACTTTCAGCTTTTCTGCACAGCAACAAGATGTCGTGTAAACTGTCCTTGAAGGACCTCCTCCCTCATTAACGTGTCTCTCTGTACCAGGACGAGGACCTCTGTCTAATGAGAAGCACATGTGCATGAATGTTATCAGTCCACATTCCTTTCTTGTGATGCTCCCAAACCCTGTGTAAAGCTCATATATGTGTGACTGGGTTGCCTCTGTTCTGGGAGCCGCTCTAACGGACCTCTCTGAGTGCTGTTGTAGACCGCTCCTGTTTCTTGCAAGAAATAAAGCGCATATCTATCTCAGGTCTCTTAATTTCACACTCACTAAAGGTTGTTCACTTTAGTATAGGTGAACAGGGATCACACAACTCACAAAGTCACATGTAAATAAATCAATTTACAATCTATTTTGAAACTTCAAAGTGAACTTACATAAATGTCGAGATGATGCTGAATAAGCAGTTGCAGTCGTCTTCTATATTTTCATCAGTCAACTCTGGAAAATGAAAAAGTTTGTTGGTTTAAAGCAATAATGCAGTTAGAAAATGTCAACTTTTCACAAAGAGAGAAGAAGAGTGAGATGTATTTCCTGTTAAGTGTCACATAAGATGTACTACACACACCTGTGGTCTTCACTACAGGGTACATCCATTTCCAGGAGACTTTCCCTAATGTTAACCAAAGCCAACACTTGCTCTAACCGTACACCCCATCATTTTCTTGGAATTCAACATACTAGTAGACTGATGGTCTCCACAAAGATTTCACCCCCCAAAAGTTTTCATCCCATTAAATGGCCATTACCAGTTTGTCATTGGAACCATACATGTGGGTTAGCTGGGCCCTACTCCACCTCCTAGTTGGTTCACTGAGATGTTCTGTCCTCTCAGCCTTATATTGTTTACTTGCCATTGATGCCTTATATAAGGACATGTACATGCACATTGAGAGCTGATGTACCACAGTCAAATTCCTTGTGTGTCCAACACACCTGGCCAATAAAGCTGATTCTGATGTTAGCATGTGCCAGACCTTTGTTGTCATGATTACAGTAATAAATACTTTAGCTTGTTTAACACGTTAATCGCTTTGGGCACAAAACCTACTTGGTTAAATTTAGGGGAGGCTCATAGTCACCCACTCATCCACCCTGACTTCCTCCCTATATGAACTTTGTGCTCTTAAGGTCTTGCACTTCACGTTCCATGCTAGTTGGCACAGACATGGTCCCACCATAACTACAATGCTAATTCTGTTAGCAGTAGTTAGCAATGTTTCAGAAACTCAGTGCACTTTGTGCATCTTTAAATGTTTTGACATATGAAATCTGGACTATGTCCACAGAATCAGGTCAGGACATTGTCCATTGTGTCACATGTCCATTAGCTAGCTGAGAATACGCTGGACTATTAGCTGCTGTATTCTCACATGGGCTCACTGTGGCTTCCTCAGACTTTACATGGACTTTGTCCCAGGGAGCTGGCAGGGCAAAACCACATGTCCAGGCCAAGTGACTTGGACATTTGCTTTCTCGCATATATACAGTTCCTCTGGGTAATGTCTACAGAATTTCAGGGTGTTCTGTGTGGTCTGGTCATGAGGTAAATTTGTAATCGTACAGTTTGAAAACACCAGTAGGGTAAATAGTTTTTCATCAGTTCAAGCAGTGGTCAACAGGCCTGGGGGCTGCACCCAAAAAGGTCAGCAAATGTAACAGCAGTCATTTAATTAGGTGACAACACTTGAACCAGCTGGCTGGCTACATCTGTAAGCATGGTATGTTGGCTATTTGGGGAGAATAAACACAGACTCCAAAAATCCACTAGTGAAATCTGAATCTGAAACTCACTGTTGCAGTCAGTGTTACAGATGGTGTTGTCGAGTGAAGAAGTCCTGCTGCTGCAGACCAGGTGCTCATGGAGTTGATAAAGGCCAAGTTTCCTGGGTCCTGTTTCACTGTCTGGAGACCGGCGGACCCGTACAGGTGAAGTGTGCTGTGTGGTTGATGTGTTCTTGGAGAGTGATGCGGGATGGGTGGTTTGCGCGGTCCCGTGGGGCGCTGTCTGCTCGATGTGGGTTGTGGTCTTGGAGAGTGATGCGGGATGGGTGGTTTGCGCGGTCCCGTGGGGCGTTGTGTGCTCGGTGTGGGTTGTGGTCTTGGAGAGTGATGCTGGATGGGTGGTTTGCGCGGTCCCGTGGGGCGTTGTGTGCACGGTGTGGGTTGTGGTCTTGGAGAGTGATGCTGGATGGGTGGTTTGCGCGGTCCCGTGGGGCGTTGTGTGCACGGTGTGGGTTGTGGTCTTGGAGAGTGATGCTGGATGGGTGGTTTGCGCGGTCCCGTGGGGTGTTGTGTGCACGGTGTGGGTTGTGGTCTTGGAGAGTGATGCTGGATGGGTGGTGTGCGCGACCCCGTGGGGCGTTGTGTGCACGGTGTGGGTTGTGGTCTTGGCGAGTGATGCGGGATGGGTGGTGTGCGCGGCCCCATGGGGCGTTGTGTGCACGGTGTGGTTTGTGGTCTGGGAGAGTGATGCGGGATGGGTGGTTTGAGCGACACCATGGGGCATTGTGATCTCGGAGTGAATGGATGGTGTGGCTGTTGTTGACAGGGTGGATGTAAGCCCCCTTCCGGCGCGTCGCACCCGGTTGTGGGTCCTGGTTGAGTCTGAACTGGCGTCGCTTTCCATGTTACTCACTGCGCTGGTGTTAAAACCTGATGACACTTCTGAGTAACAGACAACTGAAGAGCAGAGAGAAAAGAGAAAAACAGTGACATTTCGTCTCCAAACGCCACAGTTTGTAATCTACACCCCCATTTCTGTGCCATATACACCTCCCACATCATTTGCTTGAGATATTCTTGGTCCCCAGAGGAAGATGCCTAATGATTTTTTTGACCCTCTAATCTTTCCTCCAACTCCACCATCAGCCTAAAACTTCAGTTTGCGCACAAAAAATATCAAAATCTAATGCAACAATTTATTGAGCGCATTCATAATCCCCAAAGGATGAACCCAAGGTATTTTCAGAACAAAGTCACCTAGTGTCACCAATCTGAATTAAACATTTTACTGAACTTAATCTTTTACAAGGTAAGTTAGTCTGTATTTTCTCATGCATCAAACATCCAGGAATCCAGAAATTGTAGTAATGCAGTTTGGCTGCTCTGCCAAATTTGCTTCACGGCCCAGCACCGATCCTCGGGCTTGGATCAAACAGAATGTTCATTAACTGTTTCAGTGCTCAGCTGTGTGAGTGCTTAAATAAAAGACATAGGACTGTTGTGTTAGACTCTACAGGTTTTAGATTGGTGTGTCTAATAAACTGACAAATGAGGCTACTCTATAATAATATAACATATCTCTATCTATAATAATTTAATACTCTATATATGTACATAAACGTCATTTAAATAAAGAAAAATCAAGACAAGGCAAGAAGAGAAAAACATACTGTAGATGTATTCTTCATTATACCTCCGTACTTCTTTTTACCTTAACTCATCCGAGATCACTTGAGTAACTAAGGAACCAAGTGGAATTCATTTAGTACTGCTGGTTTTCTTCACAGCAAATCTAAATACTGATACGCATTCAGTCCAGGATTCCCAGCATCTTTTAAAGCTTTCAAACCAACATCCAGCAATCAGGTTTTCCTGCAGAGGGTCACTTGAGGATCTACAGGGAACTTTGGGTCACCAGTCACAGTTTTGGACCGTGTGCAGGAGCCACAGTCGTCTGTCCGTTAATTAATAATACTTACTCTTGGCTATGAAGTTCTCCCCGGTCATTCCTTTCTTTTTCTCCTCCGGCAGCTTATTAAACATCTCATTGAGCTTATTCCTCACTTCACATCTATCCAAAATCCGCCCTTCAGCCAGACCGCAGCCCAGTACCACCAGTACAAACACAGCGAGTATCTTCATCTTGTCGTCAGTTATCTCCTCTGAATCTAAAAACATGTGTGACTTGACACTGATTTCAGCACTGCTTTTAATGGATCAGAGAGAAGGTACATCTTTTGTTCTGCTCAGACAAAAGCCAGTCCCTTGGCCCCTGAGAAACAGGAGAAATACACAATGTTGTGCCAGACTCAGCTTTGGGTTCATTGAGCTCTAACAAGGTGTGGGGAGGGAAAATGATCCATCGCCTAGAAACATATTTTCTTATTTACAGGTTACGCCATTGTCCTGTTGAAAAGATGCAACTTTAAGAGCCATATCAGATGAGGGACAACGGTTCATCTTCTCACACTGGAGGGTTGGGTGGCCACATGAAACTGATGTG